GAATTGTAAACCCGCCTTAAAGTATTTGGCCATTTTTGCACACAACGTAGCCTATCTATATGAGAGGATGGTCTATGGACGTTGTAGAAGGAAAATCATTTAGGTATGAGAATGACGATTCTTAAGTGGTGACGTGGTGTAAATATAAGAGATGGCGGAAAACACAGTAGTGCCAACAAACTCGTCGAAATTCCATCCATTTCATCCGGCTCGGTTTCCTTCCTCCGTTTAATGCGAGGCACGCCAACGAACCGAATAAATCACTCGAGTATCGAGGACAAAGCCAGAGAACGAATTAATCCCGACACTGAGGGGATCGAAATCGCAGAAAAGCTTGGAGAGAACCGTTTGGTGCGCCGCGTGCACACGGCCAACGCTCTTTATCGCCCGATCTGACATTCTCCTAATGGACCTCTTCTCCTTCTCTAACTCCGTCCTTCTGATCGACTGTTTCTTTAGAATTCGTGCAACAAGTACAGTAATAAGTGCCAATAACAAGTCACTTCAAGAAGAATAGAAAATATCCCTTTCTAATAGTAGTCAGTCTATAAACTCTGTTCATGTAACAATTTTTTTTTTTTATGTCGACGTGAAGATTAGATTTAAAGCTCAATGCTAATGTTTAATGTTTATAAATTATAAATAGATATATATGTACTGGATATTATTATTCTGAATACCTCACTTGATTTGAACCATACGATTTAGTGTACAATAGAATTCAACCATGAACAGTGAAAATCTACCTAGAGAGGAAACTCACATGTCCATTTTCTTAACATTCCTCTTTCCTACCATTGTAACATTCAATTTTGTCAATTTCACTAATTCTTCAAAGCTAATTAGTTAAAGTTCCAACTCGAATTTTGAAAATTACTTGAGGTAGAAAACATTATAAGAAGTAAACGTGTAATCAAAGTACTCATGACCGGTAGCATAAAGTCCAAATTCACAGCACGGTATGCAACAGCGATAAACCGAGAGAGGCATAGGCGTCGAATCCCGCTAAACGTTTAATCTATTATTGGAAGGATGAGAATAGGACACGCCGTGTGGCGAATAGTGTGGACAACGCGGAGTATAGAGTGGCCGGTGCTAATTTGGCCCATATACCAACGTTTCATAGACCGTTAACTCCGCCGGTGTAACTTATGAACTGTGAAATCTTGTGTGCTTTATCTCGAACCGGACAACCGACCGGACCAACGACCACTCTCGATGTGCTTACGACACACCACACAGTTCCCTACGCGAGTTCGCGGAACGCTAAACGCGCCCTCTTGGTCGACCAATCAGAAATTCGATAGCTGCCCCATGGAGGCGTTCATTGTTTCCCTTCTACGTGTATATGTGACTGATTATGAAAGTGACTTAAGTCACGTATATCTTTCATCTCGAAATACTTATACTTTTTAACTACTTTTTTTTCACAGATTTTGAAAATTTATTATGAATAACGGCTTAAGAATCACACTGTACTATACTTTTTATCAATTCTTTTTCTACGTTTCAAGGTCACCTTCAGTGTTGTATACATTAGTGCAGATATCGTAGAAAGTATACAAATATAATATAAATACTTTTGTACCATTCACACGTTTGACACGCGACGAGATTGAAGACGCTAGATGAGAGAGGCAACGTAGAGGGCGTTCACGCGAATTACCGTGGTATTTGCATAAATGGATTAGCATAAATTAAGAGGAATGGAAAAGCGTCGAGGCTGCGGTTCGTAAATTGGTCGCGATTTGCATAAACGGAGGAGGTTTCGTTGTTGTTCACGCGGGAACGTTGGCGACGGCTGATGCAGCACGCCTAACCTAACCCCTCCTCCTCGGTGTTCAAACGCGTCAGCTCGAGTCGCGACGAGCACTGAGCTTTTTTTCTGGATAGTAACAAGCAACGACCGCGTCGACCGGGCAAGCGATTCGAACACGACATCAAAACACAACGAGCTCTCGTTACTACCGCCATTACCCAGCATTATCCTCGCGTACAGGTTAATAAAAATTTACCGAGCTTTATCCTCGAGATCAAATCAAGAATACCGACAGTTCATTTCATTGTTTTTTGTAAATTTTGTGTAAATATTTAATAATTTAAAGACACGATATTTAATAATAAGAAGACAGTAGCAAGGAAAGCATAACACGTTCATAAGTTGGCAACCCTGCTGAGTGACGGTCAAATATGTAAAATGTTTAAAATTAAAAAAAGGGCTATCAATACACAAATCAAATGTTTTTGCAAGTTTCCATTTTTAAGTTAAACAAAAAATTCTTTCAATTTGAAGTATCTTAAACATTTGACGTCACTTAACAGGCTTATCAACTTACGAAGGTATCATGCTTTCCTTTCTACTGTTTTCCATTTCATTGCAATAAATTATTAAAGCTCACACTCCGAAAATTTTTGTTAAACACTATATTTCTTTTATGTAACATTGTGAACTTTGACGAGCTCTTGCAAAGATCCACGTGGTGTCCAACAGCAAACGGAATCGTTCCCTTCGCAGAACCTTTGGAGAGCTATTGAAACAGTTGCAATACGTTCCCTCTTAGAAATGATTCTAAGAAAAATCTCGCGGAACGACGAAACTCGATGCTTCGTTTAACCAGTGCAATGAAAAGAAAAAAAGAAAAAAAAAAGAACAAGACAGCACTTGAGCACGGTGTGCAAGTGTACGATGGCGGCCATAAGGTCGTCCAAAGCGCAACGATGTAACACCAGTGTTTTTGGTAGGGACACGTAACGAAAACAGACGTCCTCGAATGGTCGAGTGTCGCGCGCGTCTCGAGCACCGCAAAAACGGGGG